GCTTCCAAATTTAATTCTTCAGAGCTACTAAAACCCAGTCTTACGTGATTGCTACATAAATAATGTATCTGGCCAATGCTGATGGATGCCATTTTAACACCCCAAAGCAGCATATGAAGACCTCTAGGCTTCCACTGACACTGGGCATTTAGCAGAAAGATAGCATTTCCCACAGCAGCACACCTTCACAGCATGCATGGAATTTGCTCAGATAAAAATGAATTTAAATAAATCAGATTTTTTCATTTAAATTAAATAAGCAGGTTTAGTTCTAAAGAATAAACCTATTTAAAATCAAATTTGAAACTTAAAACCAAAGTTAAGGCCTAAATTTATAATCTATTGACATCATTTAAATAAAATACAAAAAATTGTCTTAAGCAGTACATGTTTGCTGCCAAGTGTTAAAGAAATTCAAAGTACTGAAAGATGGAAGTCACTGGCTAAGCACCTTGAACTAGAGTCTACTGAAGTGCTAAAATAGTTTAACAGTCGCCTCTTCCACAGGTGCAGAGTGAATATAGTCTTCATTTCAGTCTATTCACCTAGTTCAGTTCAATCATCAGTTCATTCAAAGTTAGCAACTGGGAGCTGAAAAAGCAGGAAAACTTGTTTTCCTCTTCAAATCTATGAATAAAAACTGGTTGAAAGAGGATGAGATCTAAAAGTTAAAAAAATCCTGAAGGACACAGTCAACAGAAATAATCAGGTTAAATTCGCTAACTAGAGAGAGTACTTTCTTTGTTTAATAAAAATCAGTTTAAAAAGCAAAACTATTTGAATTTTTGTATGTTTCCTGCACAGTTAGTTTTATTTAATAATTTTAAATACTGTTTGTGTATTTTAACTGAATTTGAATCCGCGTCCAAATAGAGCTTGACGCAAATCACAAGTTAAAAAAAAAAAAAACACTAGTAAAAAAAAAAATGCATCATTCAACATTTCCTAATAAAAAATAAGAATCTAAAATATATATATAAAGTGTATTTAAGCAATTGTGTACATTAACATGTAGTGTATTCTTAGCAAAAGAACAATAAACTTGGGGCAAAGGCTATATTTAGTTACAAAAAAAAAAAAAACAGGCTGGTTACCAAAGAGCATCAACCTTTTTAGAAGAGTAACCAGAGTGCAAAACCACAATTAAAATCTATTACTTAAAAATCAGTTTTAATCTGCTGTCAGTCAGCAAGCAGGAAACCTTGATTATTTAAATCAAACCACGCTTGCTTGAAAGCCCAGTGTCCCCCTTCATCATGTCAATTCACATTTGTACAGATTGTTATGTCTACTTATTTGATTAGTCTTCAGCAGCATATAGAATATAGTTATTTTGGAGTTTCCTATAGTGCCCATAACCAGAATATCTGTCATAGTCTTAAAAAAAAAAAAAAAAAAAACAGCTGCTTGTTTCAGTGTAGAAATAAATAAAAATAACATCTAAATACTAACTCCAAGAGATTCCTCTCAATGAATCTACTGCTTAAAAGCAAAACAGTTTCATAGTTATTTCACGGACAAATTTTCTTTCGACATAAAAATAATGCAGCCATTTAACTCCCTTGTCTTGCCTGGAACACTAACTTAAAACTTTTTTTTTACTTTGCCTATACTGCCACTTCATAAGAAATTGTTACCATTGGGAGAAAAA